ACAGGGCTAACGGTGGCTCCTTTCCTGCAAAGCTGGCTGGAGAGTGGGCGTCGAGTTATGACTCGAGCTGCCTTCCTTCTCTGTGCCCACCCTGCAGGCGCCTGGCCTCACCCGGGCAGGGGCCGTGGTGGGCACTCAGGGACTCGGGCAGGGACAGGAGCCCAGGCCACCGCTCTGAGCAGCCGCTGGCGGCAGAGGCCTGAGTGCACTTGACTTTGTGCCCACGGTGGCCTCTGTCTCATCAAGTCCATGTCGTGAATGAGGCTGCTGTCCTGCTGTGCGCTTGGCACTGCACCTGCCGATGTCCTTACCGTGCCCCCAGCCTGGCCAGACAGGGCACAGGTTCTGACGTCAGTCCCAGCACTTATACCAGACGGGGCTTTGCTACTCCCTGATTAACTGCTGTCCTAGCCCCGCACAGCACACCCGGCTCTCACTGTGACTGGAGGGTGGGCCGGGGCTCAGGATGGGGCCGGCTGAGGCGCGGGCACAGCAAGTGCGACCAGGCCCCTCGGAGGCCGTGCTGGGCTCCGGGGCTCTTCCTCTGTCACAGTCTTCTTTCCTCCCCAGCAAGCTTCCTGTCTCCTCCCTGCTCCGCAAGGACACGGTGCTGAGAGCAGAGTCCACACAGTGCTGAGCCAGCCCCAGAGCCTGCGCCCGCCCCGCCTCGACTGGATTTAGGTGCTTTTCCCTCAGGAGTGGAAGAGGCGAAGTGTCTTCCACGGGGTCATGGACCAACACCCTCCATCACGAAGGGCCTGATCTGTATTTTATAGGATTCTTTGCTGCAGAAGGCTGAGGTTACCTTGTGTTATTTCCTTCTCTCCTGGAAAAATCACCCTGTAGCATGGTCTATAAAGCAGATAAGAAGGAAATACTTCTCTGCCTTTTCGTTATATGAAACTGTATTTTGTCCTCAGCTTGGAAGGACAATTTCCTGAATATAAAGAATTACTGCTTATAAAGTTTTTATTTTCTTCCAGTACTTTGGGTAGGTCATCTTGATGTGTCCTGGTCTCCATTTGTTCTTTCTGATGAAAAACTAGCTGCTAACCCTATAATTATCTTGAATAAGAGATTTTTGAAAATGCCATATATCACAATTTTTAAAAAATGAGTGGCCCAGAGACCTCGGAATGACCAAAATAAAAGAGCAGACCTGTGCCTGCGGCATGGCAGGCAGAGAACAGTCTGGAACGGTCACCGTTGGCTGTGGGACAAAGCCAGCTGGTGGCCCCTTATTTTGGCTTCACTTCTCACTTATCTCGCAAGTTCTTCCTGGGTGTGTTGACTTGATTGTTATATGAGAGATTCTCAGTCAGCCGGGAGCCAGAGTCCGGGAGCATTGCCTCTCTGCGGAGCTCAGCAGATCAGACCCATGGGGTGCGGGAATACATTCCATTTCCCCGACTACAATTCTTCAGAGAAACATGGCACTCCCTGTGGGGAGGAAGCAAACTCTCAAGACAGAATATACGCAGAATAGAGTCTGCGTATCTGACTGGAGGAGCCCTGTTTCCTAACACATGAGATGAGGTGGTGATCCATGCAGTAGCAGGACCTGTGAAGGCTAAACGGGGTATGGCAGGCCGTACTACAGAGAGCCGCTGTGCACACAGCAGGGGAGAGTCTCAAAAATAACATATTACAGAGATGCTTCTAGTACGCTGTAACATTATGGAACTTGGAAGAAATCAATATAGAAATAGCTGAGTCCACCAAAACTTTTTATTTCAAGACTAAGATTTACAAAAAAAGTCACTGAGTTTGAAGATAAGAATGTACCTTCAAAATGTTCCTAGTATGATTAAAAGCCTACACGAGACTGGAATTAGAACAGACATTCATGGGATGGAATCAGAATACTTCTAGGAAGCAGCACTATCCTAGAAGAGCAGAAGTCTGAGGTTGACTATTCTGAATGGTGTAAAACAGTCCTTTCCTGCTTCCTGCTCCTACCTAAGCCCTGTTATTAAGGTCAATGGGAAAACTACAACAACCTAATCCAAGCAGGAGGAAAATGGTCCAGAACCTTCAAGAATGGAAATATGGTCACATAGCCAGTTAAAGAAGTAAGACCAGCTCAAGTGTTTGCTGAAGGCCAATAGAATAGAGAACAGATTGTAGAAAAAGATAGTTATAAATATCAGCTATGACCAAGTCACCAGTTACAGAAATTAGGATTGAAATTGTCCCAAGCATTTATTTCATACTTTGTAAATATTGTTATGCATATATACAGATATAGTAAGCAGATATCTTTCTTTCTTTGCATTCTTATACTATGTAATATAACACAGATTTACTTAATTTTGCCACTTAAGTATTACTAAATCTATATTATAATATTTAATTCCTAGAATGGCAAGGGAAGGTGAAGTATAACTCTGCCTTCTATCCTGGGGAGGGAGTAAGTGCATTTCCATCTGCATACAGGATAGTTATATCATGCTAGGCAGGGTTACGAACTTACTATTATTTTGAAGGTCAAATGTGGTTTAAGGAGATGTGTCTGGTTGTCAAGTTCACAAGGGGGTATTGTGAGCACTAGTCATGATATGTCAACTTGACTGGATTAGGGACAGCTACGAGATTAGTACAACACATTTCTGGGGTGTCTGTGAGTGTTTCCAGAGATTACTGGCATGTGGGCAAGCAAACCCAGGGGCGGGATGGTGGAATGACAAAGGAAGAAAGAAGAAGTCTTGGTGATGTGAAGACTGCATTCTGCTCAAGCAGGTGTGTCTTCACTGCTCTCTCCTGTGACCACTAGACTCCAGCTTCTTTAGCTCCCTACAGATGTACCCCAACAGCTCTCCAGGGAGCCTCTGCATCACCGACCCCATGTCCTGCAGCTTCCAGCTTCTGGGGTGAGAAGCAGCTGGACCCGCCTGCTGTCCAGCCTGCAGACGGGAATCACATGCACATGGTTCCCATTAATTCTGGTCCCCTGAGAACCCAGCCAATGAAACATCTTGTGTTCATGGATTGAGATACTTATTCTGGGGAAAATGCTCGGTCTACAGATTAAATGCGAGCTCTATAAACATCTCCATGGCATTTTTCACACCTAAAGAAAAAAATCTTAAAATTCACATAGGTGCACGGAACACATCAAGTAACATACAGTACTGAGGAAAACCAAAGCTGAAGGTACTGTACTTCCTGATTCGGAGGCCTCAAAGCCAGTGTGGGTCTGGCACACTCAGCCAGACGCACAGACTAAAGAAACAGAATAGCAAGCCTAGAAATAAGCACAAACAAACATGACTAACAGAACTTGACAAGCATGCCAGGAAAGCGTAATGAAAGCGACAGCCTCTTCAACCGAGAGGGTTAGGAAAACTAGATACCATGTGCAGAAAGACGAGGCCCAAACTCTTTCCTACACCACACACAAAACCAACTCAGAATAGACTGAAGATTTAAACATGAGCTTTGCAACTGTAAACACCTGTGAGAAGCCTTGGGAAAACACTTCATATCGCTGGCCTTGGCAGTGTGTCTGTGGAAATGGCACCCACGGCCCCGGTGACAGAAGTGAAATAACACCCATGGAACCCTATCAAACTACAAAGTTTCTGCATAGCGGGGAAACACTCAACAGAGTGCAGATGTGATGAACAAAATTAGAGAAAACGTTTGCAAAGTGTTAACATTAAAAATGCACAAGGATCTCACGCATCTCAATAGCGAGACAAGTAACAACCAGTTAAAATGTGGGAAAGGTCTGAATAAATGTTGTCTGAAGAAGACACGCAGTGGCCCACAGGTAGATGCAAAGGTGTTCAATGTTACTGATCATGGAGACGCGAATCCACACTACAAGGAAATAATGAAATACCGCCTCACATCTGTTAGAGGGGCTCCAGGCAGAGAACGGGAGCGTGTGTTGGTGACACTGAGGAGAGCTGGTAACACGGTGAGTTGGAATGTAAATCAGGACAGTCATGGAAAATACGATGGAAGCTCCTAAATGCTTAAAAATAGAATCAACAGGTGACCCAGTGATACCCCTTCTGGTGTGCATCCAAAGGAACTGAAATCTGTAACTTGAAGAGACATCTGCACCCCTGTGTTCTCTGAAGCACTCGTTATTCCCCATAGCCAAGGTGTAGAAACAGCCTAAAGTTCACTGGCAGGCAAGTGAAGAGACTGGTGTACACATACCGCGGAAGAGTTGTCTTCATAAGGGGGAAGCCCTGATGCTTGCCCCAAGATGGGCGAGCCCGCAGGACACTTTGCTGAATGAAGTGAGTCTGGCATACAGGCCAGCTCCCGCATGACGCCTCAGGGAAGGCATCATAGAGTTAGAGCGCGTCTGCCGCGCGCCGGGGTAGTGGGCGGAGGGAGTCGCTCTTCAGTGCAGGTGAGCTCTCCGCTCTCCAAGAGGGAAGCTCTCTAGAGCTGGCTGCACGGCACACTGCCGTGGTCAGCACTGCTGTGTGCTGCACTTACGGTTTGTTAGGAGGACAGAGTTTATGAAAGGTGTTCTTATCATGACAAATTGCAACTAAAACTGGGGTGATGACTTCAGGTCTTGGAATGGGGTGTGAAGTACGCCCAGGGCTCTGCAGGTATCTTGGAGGAAGAATGTCTACGTGCCTCAGGGAGCCCTGCAACCCAGCCTGAAGACGCCCGAATGAATGTGGCTCCATTTTACACTCTATTTGTGTTTCTGTATAACTGCTGCTTCTTTATCAGTTTCCAGGAGGGTAGCTAGTCTCATTTAATTTTATTTTAATAAAAATTTTATTTTAATAAAACAACTTACCAGAATTTGCACTATTTTTGCAGCTCTTCCTGATTAAAGCCACTAATATTTCTACATCTCTGACATAAATAATGCTTTTTCAGGGAAGTGAGTCTGTCAGGAAGCTTTTCTCTTTGTATTACTGTTAAACCTAGGGTTTTGTCACTGAGCTACATCACCAACCCTTTTTAAAATCTTTTTTATTTACTTATTTTTTATTTTTGAGACAAGGTCTTGCCAAGTCACTAAGTTGCCCAGGTTGGGCTCGAACTTGTGATCCTTCTGCCTCAGCCTCCCAGGGTTCTGGAATCCATGTCTTCATACTACTGTTGAGATCCAGTCTTGTTCAGTCTGTGGATTTGATTTTGACTCAGTCTAGGATAGCCCTGGGAAACCATGGGCTTATCAGTTGATTAGTAAGTGTAAGACCTGCTAAAAGACCAAGGTAGAAACTTAGGGTGAAATACATATTTTTCTTTCTCATATATGTGTATAAAACTTCATTAAATGTAAGCAAAATTACTTTAATAAGCAATATTTTATCTATAAAGAAACTTAAAGCTTAGTCTATAGACAAATACATAGTTAACAAAGATGGCATTCTGCCAACACAAATATTCTTTTTGAATTAAAAAAAGCTTACAAAAAAGCATACAGTGTTTGTGGTGATTTGCATCATTGTAATTAGGATACAGCTTGTGACTTCTCCGCTTTCAGTTGCGTGAGCGTCTATGATGAATAATTCTAATTAATTGTTAAATTTTGTTGTTGCATAGTTTTTTAGAATAGATTTTAATTGGTTTTAAATTGGAAAAAGAACATTTTGATGTTCAGTGATGGAAACTGTCAAAATAGAAGTAATAAAGGGTGAACTTCATTTGCACTTGTATGGATTTCATGATTACTCTGCTAATTTGTAAATAGTTTTTCTTCTAATTCACTTTTTGATTACTTTATTCACTGTAGTATTCGTATTAGCAATGGTTATGGTTGGAAATAAGCCCCCAGACTCAATTTATTAGTGCAGATAATAAAGTACTTAGACAAAAATCTCAACAAGGCATTTTACTTCTGCATGAGGGCTCACATATGAGGTAGCAGGCATGCAAGACAAAGGAGGGCTACCCCTTTTATCCCTAATGCAGGAGAACCAGGTGACATTCGGAGTCTCCGGCTTATAGTCTACCGTGGCTGGCTAAAGTGAGTGGCTCAGGGTGGGGGTGGGCTGCTGAGTAAGTTAGAGAGAGGGTGCGGGGTTTGGAATGAAGTCCTGGGTTCTTATTTCAGGAGCCAACTGTGTTCTAGGAAAAGTAGAGTCACCATTTCTAAGCTCAGGATATTAACAAAACTAGGGTGCTGGGCAGTAAGGAGAGGGCCGGGTCATTTAAACCCAGCACGGAGTTGGTCTGACTGGAAAGCAAAGCCTATTTCTCACGATTCTCCCCTTTCATGTCCCACACTCTTTTCTTCAGACTTTGTGAGCAGCAGTTGACTCTGTTGTGCGGTTTCACCAGGAGCACGTTAGCTGGACAAGGTGGGCTCATCTCTGCCTGCCGCTCGGACTGTAGTTTTGTATCAGGAGCGTGGGGAAGGGGCCCTCTCAGGTGTGTCTGAGTTTGTTTGCCAGGCTGTGTGGATGGGCCAGAAAGTTGAGTGGTACGGTTTGAACTAGAAGTCCCTTCTGTCTGAGGGAACAAAGGGTGAAAGGCAAGCCAAGCACATGATCTCTTCACTAGGTAGGAAAACATAAATTTCAAAGCACATAGGACCAACACACTGGCGCTAGAATGAAAGCAGCTGGGGAAGAGTTCATATCCAGATACTGTCTTTAAGGGATTGGAACAGCAGTGATCGGCTGGCTCTCAGACCTGTTTACAGTGTAACCAGAAACTGGCAACAGGAGTCAGTGACGGGGGCCCTTTGTGATGTTTTACCTGTATTATCATTACTTTAGTATCTCTGAGGTTATGCCTTTTTTGCTGGCTGTCCAAGACCAAGTTAAAGTGAGCCCAGTATTAATTAAAATTAACATTTTTGGGGCTGGGGGTTTAGCTCAGCGGCAAAAGTGCCTGCCTGGCAAGCGCAAGGTCGTGAGTTCGGTTCCCGGTACCGGAGAAAAAAAACCATAAAAAAAAAAAATAAAATTAACATTTTTGCCAAATCTCTAGGTCAGCTAAGGCTTTTTAGGAGTTATTTGTGGGACAATGGGTACAGCCTCCCAGCTCCTCTGTCAGTGCTGGCTGGCAGGGTAGATCACAGTCTTGCTTGACTATGTAGCTTCCTGTGGAAACAGAAGACCTTTTTCCTTTGTTGCCCTCCTTTTTGGTACACTGAGTGACTCCTGTCCTCTGGGTCCAACCTTCTCCTTGTTCTGGAGGTTGGGTGACTTTGAAAGTTGTAGGATCCTGTAGACAGGTTCCCTTGTGTTCTGAGTTCTAGTTGACCTTGTTGGTCTTGGAGGATCAGGGCCAAAATATTGGCTGTCCAGTTACCTTTTTAGCTTTGATCTCCAATCCAAAGCAATCTTGAACACCCAGGATATCAGTAATCTTTTCTAGACATCAAGTACCTTGAAACATAGAATGATCATGGAACTGTTATTTTTACCAATTATGGTTGTCTTAGGAGTTGAATCCCTGGAGGATATTAACAGATAACTGTTATAAAGTTTTATAGAGAAAACTTGAGATTAAGGACAACAAAAGAGACCATCATAACAATCATGATGACATTATTATATTAGAACCATTAGGTTTTGTTATTACTTTTGAAACATTTAAACTTTTATCTTAGTATAAAATAACATTTAGTCAGTTATCTTTATCTAGTTACATGATCTTAAATGACACACAGAAACTTTTACCTAATTTGTTATCTTTTAACCACTTTTTGTTACCAGAGCAATATTTAAGTAGGATTTACTTTACAGATTATTAAAATCTAATCTCTAATTATTGTAGTGACATTATCTGGACTGTATAAGGTGTAGGCACATTATCAAAACACAATTATATAACAATCACATAAACATAGACCTGAAAAAGTCCCTCATCATGAATTTGGAAGTATGACAAGATAGTTTTTCCAGTCCTGCATCTTAAAAGACCTCTATACACTTAAGAAAACACAAATGTATTTAATATTCCATGAGGTTAGTAATAATTAGTATCACTGCTATATAGAAATTTTAAAACCTTATTGCTTTAAATATATAGAGTTTAACCTTGTATTTATAGCCAACTTTAGTATATTTTGATCATTTATTTAATAGCTACTGTGGTGTGGCACCATAAGACCCTGGGAAAACTAGATAAACTGCCCATAAGTGGGGCTGCCCATCAGTGGAGAAACTAGACCAATTTTGGTCTAGGCAGCTTATTTTTTTAATCACAGACAGGAGTTTTTGTTCAACAGTTTCCCAAGTTTAAGGGGTTTTCACTTATTTACTTTAACAATTGTTTTAGATGACTCATCATGATAGTTTACATTTTATATATATAAAATTTTTGACCAAGGAAAAACTCTTAAGTTATTGTACACAGAAAATAATAGTCATTGGGTTTATAAAACTGATTTTGGACATTATCTTTATTATCAAATAACCTCGATAGAAAAATGTATCAAATAACCTGGATAGAAAAATGTCACTGATCTTTAAAATATCTTGTTTTCATCAACTGATTTAAATTAGTCTACTGTTAAGCTATGTGGAGCATATAGAAACATACACAGTTTTAATCACATGTAATCTTTATGTTCTCAAACTTTAAGGCTTCCATTTGTGAGTCCTATGGGAGGAGTTAGCAGAAAAAGTTGGAAGGGTGAGGAAAGAACTTTGGGATTTTGTCTCTTTAAGTTTTTAAAAAATTTTACTTTGGAGAAAGAAGTCAGCTTTTAAATTAACTGTAGATCACATGTCAAGGACAGCAGAGGTCACGTGGTGGGAGGCACTAGGCTCCTCTCCCCTTTACATTTTTGTAACCAACAAAAAAGTCAAAAGTGTCTGAGTTGTCCCCTTCCCATGTTTATCCCAGCTTTTGATTTAAAATTACTGTTTTATGATTTTGCTATGTTTTGCCTTTGGGTCAGACAGAGAGGAGTGCTGGGACCCGGGAAGGAGGGACTGGTGAGAGTTACTTTTCAGCAACAAGGAGGTTTTAGAAGGAAGGGCCTGGGCTCCGGGACACCGACAGGCAGACATACACATTCTTTTGGTGAACTATGTCCTCCACCAGCTTTTCCTCAGCATACTTCAACTTTCCAGTTCTGTCATTATCTCTTTATCTTTCTAGTAGGGCAAAACTTTTATCATACAACATCTCGTATCAAAAGTCTATCTATTATACTTGTAGCCTTCTTTATATATTTTTCTCCATTCTGTCACTGTAAACATTGTATAAAAAACTTGGCTATGGACTCTTCTCTCCTTTTTTTCCTTCTTTCTGTGTCTCAGATAGCTACATTTAAAAATTTGACTGGCTGCCAACAAACTTTCAAGTAACCTTGAATTAGTACTCTTATCACCAGCAGAAAGCAGAGAGAAAAGCAAGTTAACTCCAATTAGAGCATGAGAATTTACAAAGCACAGGAAATGTTTTAAGCATTTTAATTAAACAAAAACACCAATTTAAATTGGAGGACAACAGTGAAATTATCAGTTAGCTAAGATTTGCAATTTGATTCCTCCCCAACCAGGAGAACTTTCCCTCAAGGGAAAGAAGGATGGAGCCCCTTTAGTCTTTAGGGAAATGGAAGATTCTGAACATCTTTTCAGTACCTTTTAATTTTCTTTTGAATCAAGGATAAAGTCTGTCTTTTTTTCTCTTGTGCTGTTGCAACTGCCATGCCAGGCACTGGGACCTTCTCTCCTGGTGCCAGCTCTTGTAGGGGCAGAGGCATCGGTCTTGGGTGCTGAGGATTACAGGTTGGGGTGGGGACCCCAGAGGGTCTCATGTGGAGGAGGGGAATGGGGGTGAACCCTCTTGTTTCTTACTAAGTACCTGAGGTTTTTAGGGGAAAGAGGACAGTCGGTTCTTGTTGCCAACACAGGGCATAATCTATCTCACCCTGAGACCTTCGTCTTTATTATTAACAAATTCAATAAGCAATCAACATACTCAGTCCTTGTCTGATCTAAATTTTGTCCAGAAGACAGATGGGGTGAAGATAGGGCTTTGAAGCCAAATGACACAATATTTTATCCGAGGGTTCTTCCTTCCTTCCTTCCTTCCTTCCTTCCTTCCTTCCTTCCTTCCTTCCTTCCTTCCTTCCTCTCTCTTTCTCATCCATGTGCTGTCACTCTAAGTTCATAATATCAGTCTGAAGGGACTTCCAGGGGAGCCCTTAGATTCCCTCACTGTCTTGACTGGGAGGCACATTATTTTGCATTCTGTTTGCCCCAAAGCCCGAGCTTACTCTCCAGCATGTGCTGAGATATTTTGCCCTCTGTTGCCTTCAGTTTCACCTGAAATCACTAGTCTCACTGGAGACCCTTCCGACCTGAGGTTACCCTGGGACAGGGACAGAGTAACCCCAACAACCAAAGGAGTACTCAGTCTCCCCAAGACTTTTCTTACCTTGGCTCATGGACGAAGCTGCCTGGTCTCCCCTGTCTCTTGCCTCTGGACCACTTTCAGCATTGTCATGAGACCTTTGCTGAGTCCAGACATCTTGTATGTTGGTCCTTGTCCTGGGGGCCACCGCAAAAAGGCTGTGGTTTGCATCTCCTGCTAGTGGGAGTTCCTGCATCTCAGAGACCTTTGGGCCCCATATTGGGAACCAAAATTGTTGGAAATAAATCCCCAGGCTCAATTTGTCAGTGCCACAAAATAAAGCATTTAGACAACAAGGATTCTTGACAAGGCATTTATAGAAGGTGCAAGCATGAAGTAGCATGTGTGCAGGACATAGGAGCATTGCTTCTTTTATCCCTAACAGCAGAGAAGTAGCTGACCTTTAAATTCATTGGCTGAATTCAAAGGCTTACAATCTATCGTGGTTAACTCGAGTGACGCAGGGGCAGGGGTTAGGGTGTTGCTGAGTAAGGTGGAGAGAGGACGTGATGGGGTTTGGAACAAGAAGTCCTTGGTTCTCACCTTGGGAACCACCGGTGATCTGGGGTTTGGACAAGGGGTGAATGGCCAGGTCCTTTATACCCAAAATAGAGTTGCTTTGGCCCTGTGCTTTGACAGAAGAGACAAAGCCTATTTCTCACATTATGGCAGGCTAAATTGCTAGCTTACTTTGCATTTTTATTGCATCTTTAACAATGGATTTTCTACCATTTTTAATGTTTTTCAGAGTAATAAAAGCATGGCACAGCTAACCATATTCTATAAAGACTGTTTTAGTTCAGAGTATTTTATATTATCTACTATACAAAAAATAGTAGCCTGATTATTTTAGGAGTGACTGCTAAAGATTAGGACAGGACTTTGGCCAATGGGAACCTGAATCAGGCAAAGGATCTGCACTGTACCTCTTCATGCCAGATGGGTACCAAGATGCAGAAGCTCATGAGGCCTCTCTGAGGTGTCCCATAAGATTATGCCATCTGTGGTTCCTGCCAAGTACGGGGCAGCTCAGTAGTGCGCGTTATGTTTGCCCTGTCTCCTTCTCCACTCTGTCTCCTTCTCCACTTTACTCAACTTCTATCATTTTTACATGTCATTCATTTCACTCCATGGGGCATTGGTAGCATGGAAGGTTGTGTGCCTTCTGATGAAACACCCTGAAAGACTTGGTGTTAGGACCTGTCCTAGGCAGCGTGGCTTGAAGGTGGGATTTGTGGGCTCATGCAGACGGCAGACCATGGCTGCTGATAAACAGCTGGGCAGCAACTCCGGCATCCCAGTCCTGAAGCCTCATGCTGGGGTGGAAGTGAAACCCAGAAGATGCAGGTGGAAATGTAAATGCTGGGAAGAAAAGTGTCACCACATACAAGAGGGGCTTGAAAGATAGGGGACAGTGACAATATTAATGAAGGTGGGGGAGGCTTGCTTTCCTGGACAACATTCGAAGCTTTGAAGAAAACATGAGGACACATTCAGGTCATCCAAACTGAGTTTCCTTTCGGCTCTGACATCTATGTAGAGTTTACATATTAGTCAGGGTCTCCAGCGAGCCAGTGGTGTGTGTGTGTGTGTGTGTGTGTGTGTGTGTGTGTATACAAATGTGTATGCACAGGTGCTAAAACTTTATAGGGATTTATGACAAGGAATCAGCTCATGTGACTATGGAGGGCGGAAGGTTGCACAGTTTTCTGTCTAGAGGTTGGAGACCTAGGGAAGCCAGAATTTTTCAAGACTTGAGAGATGTGGAGGTGTAGACTGTAGTCCAGGTCTGAAGGCTGAGGGTCAGGACCACTGGCGCAGGAGGAAATTGGTGCTGCAGCCTGAATAGACAAAGACAGCACCAGAACCAAACAGAGAAGACATAGCTGTTGAAATTATCAGACAAAAAATGTAAAATAATTGTGATAAATATGTTAATGAAAGAAGTAGACAATATGCCCGAACAAATGGATAATTCAAACAAAGCAATGGAAACTCCAAGGAATAATAAGAAAGGAAATGCTAGAAATAAAAGCCCTGAAGTAGAATTGAAGAATACTTTGGTGGGGGGGGGGGCATCAGGAGAGTAGATATGGTACAGAAGGAAAGCCAGACTCCTGAGCCATACCAACAGAGACTCCCCAAACTGAAGCACAAAGAAAAATAACAAGATGGTAAGAACACTCAGAACTCTGAGATAAGTTCCAGATCATAATATGAATAATTGCAAAGATACAGAAACTGGAATGGAATAAATCTTTGAAATAATGGTAGCCAAGGATGCTTTAAAGTGGATAGATAACAAACATCAAGTCTAGAACTAGAAATCTTTTTTCAAAAAGCAGAATAAATATCTCTTCTCCATTCCAAAATGAAACCTAAAAAGCAAAAACTGTACCTAGACTGATTGTGTTACATGGCAGGAAATCTAAGCAAGAAAAATCCTCAAAATATTCATGAGGGTGGAGGGGAAAAAAAGCTTACTTTACAGGAAAAGAATGAGAAATCCGTGAGAATTAGCATCAGAAATCATGCAAGCAAGAAGGGAGTGAAATGAAATATTTAAATTATTGCCACAATAAAACAAAACAAAGACATTAAACTGGACTTCCAAATCCAATAGAATTATGCTAAAAGGAGAAATGAAAATTTTCTTAGACAAAAACACAGGTACCTGATTGTTTACAATGAAAAAGAGGGAAAAGGAAGGTGAAATAGGCCAGAACTGAGATTTACATAAATGTCCTTTACAAGGAGGCAGCAAATGAAGGCAAAGTGAAATATTTTATTTCTTTTATTTACCTTATTTTTCATTAACTTTAAAGACAGCTATTTAATGATGCTAATGATATATTGAGCAGTTTGAGAATCTGGACAAATGACACAAATATCAGGAGGAAACAGAGATGAGGAGAGATTGGGAATATTCCACAATGGCAACATCCCACAAAGATAATCTTGCTATCTGAAGCTGATCACAGCTTAGTCTAAAACACACATTGGAAATCCTAGAGCTACCACTAAGAAAATTTTAAAAGATAATTGCTGTGCAAAGAGAGAACAATGCTCACCTTAGAAGCACATATACTAGAGGAGAGGACATAAAATAATGAAGTGCTGCAATGAAAATCAAAAAGAGATAAAGATGGGATAGGAATAAAACTGCAATGAATAGAAAATAGTTGCAGATATGGTTGGTACAAATTCTACTCTATCAGTCATCATTTGAATAGTAATGATCTCAATGCCTGAAATGAAGTTCACAGAATAACAGGGTGGGTCTAACAAAAAAGAGCAAATTGTCTGTTGTCCACAAGAAACTCACTTTAAAGACCAAGATAAATTAAAAATAAAGGAGTGGACAGCATTATACTTTGCTAATACTAATGAAAAGAGAGCTGAACTAATTATATCGATTTCAATCAGACCAAGAAACAAAAGAAAATAACTGGGATAAATGAGACACTGAAAAATGAGAAAAGGGCCATTTTTCAAAGAAGCCATAGCGATCCGGTGCACACACCTCACAAAGACCAGGATGTGTCATGAAATATGAGAACTCAGAGGAGACACAGATAAACCCACGACTGGAGCTGGAGGCACCATCACTCTATGTTTTGCACTTACAGGCCACATAGGCAGAAAACCAGAATGAGTACAGCTGACCTGACCCACTCCATAACCTGAGATTTATTAGAAGAGTTCATCCAGCAATGGCAGAATGCACATACTTCTGAAGCTTCTAGTAAGCATTCACCAAGACAGACCAGATTGTGAGTGAAAAAATGAAGAAAGTAGGAATTGCAAAAATATGTTTTTGGGCCACAGTGGAAGTAAACTAGAAAGACAGAAAGATAACGGGAAACTCCCCAAGTATTCAGCACACTCCTAAAGGACAAGTGGGTTAAATAAGATGCCTCAATAGGAAATTTAAAGTATTTCTAACTAAGCAAACATGAAAAACAACTAATCAAAATTTGTGGGATGTACTGAAAATAGTGCATAGAGGGGAACTTATACCTTAAGATGCATATGGTAGATAATACAGATCTACAGTATGTACACAGATCAAATTGCCATGTTGTATATCTAGGATATTTACAACCTCTACTCATCAAGCAGATACCTTAAAATGTAAAAGTAGAAAAATCTAAAATCAATAATTTACCTTAGGACATTAAAGATGAGCAGCTGAATCCTAAAGCACGTGGAAGAAAGAAAATAAGAACTGAAATCAACAAACCCCCAAACTGCTCTTTGAAAGACCGAAACTGGAAATCAACCAGGCTAACCAAGAGAGAAGTCCAAATTGCGACTGTCAGAAATGCATAAGATACCATCGCTACTGGTCCTCCAGATACTGAACAGAAAATACAGGGACACTACGGACATCTCTAAACCCAGAACTTTAATCACTTAGACAAAATGGATAAATCCCTCAAAAGACACAAAGTACTAAGAGTCACACGAAGAGAAATCGCTCACCTAGCAAGTCCTTGCAGTGTGTGGCACTGTGCCCCAGAGAGAGGGACTGAAGCCGTTAGCCCTGGTCCAACAAATGTGAGCCTATTGGTAAGCGGGGTCTTGGAAATGTAATTGAAGCCTTAGTGTTGGCTTTCACTCATACAGCTGATGTCCTTATAAAAAAGGGACCAGGGGCAGTAGACACACACAGAGGTTTAGAAAGCCAAGAGGAACAGACACGGAGGCAGCTGGGGGGAGTCGGAGGAGGGGAATAGGGTGATGCAGCTACAACCTGGGGACACCAGAACTGGAGTAGGCCAACCTGGATCCTCTTCTAGGAGCTTCAGGGAGCACACGACCCAGCCAGCACCTTGATCTCAGAATTCTAATCTCCAGAACTGCAAGAGGAGACATTTGTGTTGCGTGAAGCCCCCAGCTTGCAGCACTTTGCTATGGCAGCCGTGGGAAACGAATACAGGTGTAGACCTATTTTAAAATTTAATTGCTAACGAGTGACTTTCCCCAGATGAAAGCAGCAGACCCAGATGATGCTACTGCTGAATTCTATCTTAAAATCCAGACAGAAACGATTCAGATCTCTGCAGATTCTCTCAGGATATACAAGCAAAGGGACACTTCCTAATACATTCTCTGCCTCCGTCAATGCTCTACTATAAAAGCATATATATAGATCATCAGAAAGGAAACTTCAAACCGTATCTCTCCTGATGTAGATGCACAGTTCCTCAGCACATTACTAGCACATCCAATCCCATGATGTATCAAAGCAGTACACAACACAACCACATGGGATTCATTCCAGCTACCCGGGGCTGGTGCAAGACAGGAAAATCAGTCTCTGTA